TAAAGAATTTTCAGAGACTTCAAGCTGCCTGAGCTTGTCACAAAGCACCTGTGCCTTCAAGTGCTATGCTGGCACACCAACTGCTTGATTATCTGACAGTAAGTGGCATCAGCACAGGTGTAACAGGCTTTTTCAATGTATAGAAAGGGTAACAAAAATTAAGGCACAGTAAAAAAAAAAAATAAAATTGCAAAAACAGAATTCTGAGCTCTTTCAGTGTGCTGGTTTGATTGTCTTTATGTATACACATCTTATGTGTATACATTTTAATAGGAACTGTGGGTTTGAGCTGTAAAGAATGAAGAGCTTGTGGATACCTACTAAAAAGGCTGTACAATGATCTGTGGGGAGTTACACTGAGAAAAATAGCCCAAGATATTCTGCCTACCTTCTCTTGCAAGTCAACTATATTTGGATCTGTTCTTCACATCAATTCCACAGCCTACAAAGAGATGCTCTGACCTGTAGCTCTTACTCAAATGAAGTTATGTGAGCTGAGAGCAATTCATTTTATTGTCCTCGTGGATGCATTACCTAACCATGATCTAACTCACCTAACCATGACTTAACTCAGACACTCAGCTTAATCTGTGATCTTACCAAAATTAAGAGGCAGTATTTTTCAGCGGAGGGAGGTGAGACTGGGTAACTTCGACAGTCTATTCCTAGCTGATACAAAATTCCCCTGGGTCTCTTTGGACAAGTTCTATGGATTTCTCTGCCTCAGTTTCCCTTTGCTAAAAAAAAGATGATCATGTTCACCAAGTTCAGGCAACTGTTGAATTATCTCATTAACACTTTCAAAGCAGTAAAAAACTCAGTGTTACCTAATCCTCTTCCCCCACAAACTGTGTTTTAAAAATAGTGACCCATGTTACCTGGAAGTTAGAGGGTGAGAGCAGATGCATGAGCTGTCCTGAAGGAACATGTCAATGGCTGTCAGTAAAAGCAGTAGCATTCAAACTGTCATCAACAGTCAGACCTTGTTTGAAAGGGTAAGGAAGCCAAGTGGCAAGGTGTTGAATAGGTGGAATTGTTGCAACTTACCTATTCTAGCATTTTCATTAGCTGTGGGTCAACTGACTGCCATCTCTCTCTCTCAGTTATTCATGAGTCTGTTGGGCTTCTCAGCTGCTTACACTAAATCCACCTGTTCCTCAACTTGTTCAATTTACCATTGTTTGTATCCTTCTTGTGTTACCGAACTTCTTTCCATACTCCTGCTCTGGGAACCATGGGATCACAACTCAGCTCTTGAACTGTGTTTTGTTGTTGTTACTGTTTTTTTTTGCTTGGTCCTTGTTTGGAAACAGACACTGCATACAAGGGTTGACAAAGTTGTCTGGCTGTCCTGATCCACAGGCCTAAAGTGACACCCTTGCACCTCCTCACTGAGTCCAGCCTCAGGAGCTCTCCATCTTTTCTCCTACACAGAGAGGACGAGGCAGGAGCAAGTGTGAGGGTGCAGGAACAGACAGGGCAGTTGGAGGGGGCATGTGGATACAAAGGTTTACAATCAGCAGATCACCCTCTTAACACCTGAAACAAATCCTTTGGGTGTCATTAAGACCAGAGGCCTTTGTTGCTGACACAAAGGCATGCACTTAAACACACTCTTCACTGCTCCCCTCCCTCCCATCGGTAGTCCCACCTAGGGAATGACAGCTGGGTCCTGCTGGTGGCACCTTTTCAAAGGTTCAGGACTGTCCCTGCTGCAGCAAACAGGAGCCCATACCTTCTGGAAGAGGAAAAACAATAGCTTAAATGACAGCTGGAAAAGAAGAGCACTGAGCATCTTCTGTTTGTCAACCCACTCCTGCAACATCACAAGCTGGTAGCGTTCATTCTCCCCCGTGTGTGTGCTGTTCATGCTGTGTAACCCTACATGACACTCCCGTAGGCATCACAACCTGTGTTCACCCTCACACCGGCATCTTCAGTGCCCTGCCACCCAAACCACCCCTGTGCTTTCAGTGCTTCCAAAGGCCTAAACTCTCTTAACCTTTGATCACACATCCCTGTGTATGCTTATCTTTCTATGTAATGGTGTTGGTGCCTTTTAAAATCACAAAGACTCTGATTAAATTACCTTTACCCTTCCTCACACGATAAAGCCAAGCAAACACAGCATAAAGGTTATGTGCTCACCTTAACACTCATTACTTTACAGCTGCTGTGTAAAATGAGTTGTGAAATTTATCTTCTAGCTTTTGTCAAATATTTTCAAATGCTTTAATCACAAGTACGTAATTGAAAGCAATTTCTTTTTCACTGACCTGAAAGGGATCCTTATCAGAACTGAGATTGGAGGAATTTCCAGCTTTCTGTTTTGTTTTTTTTCCACCCTCAGTCTGCCTGAGGTCCAACCTGGAGGTTGTGACTTGCAATGTTTTAATTGCAAGAGCACCTGAATGAAGGCACTGCAATGCAGGCCACCTGCTGCCCCTGGCTGCTAGCCCCCCGGTGCCTACCCAGATGCTGCTCCTAGATGAGGCAGGCTACAGCTACTGGTCTGAGCCAGAGGTGGGGAAGAAATTCTTAATTTAAAAAGGTCAACAAGAAAAAATATTTTAAAAAAGACATGTGTAACAAATAAGACCCATAATTTCTACTGCATTCAAATAAGCTGTAACTCAGGAAAGCTCAGGATAAAAAGTGTGTCAAGTTTTGCTCTGAAAATGGTTCTGTGTAAGTGAGTGACTTCTGGAATGAGACCTCCATGACTGTGCACAGTAAAAAGACATATTCACTGCCAAATCTCAAGTCAGCTTGAAAACCACCTCAGTACATTCTCTTGCTGAAATGTGTCCGATGAAGATGACAACAAGTATTAAGTATCTACCCACAAGTGTAACAGCTAGTGATACCTGTGGCTAAATGAGGCCCTGACTGATGTTTACAAGACCTGTTCAACAGGCGCTTCAGAGACACGAGAGATACAGCCCAGCAGTGATGGGTGAAGGCTCTGGCTGTGCCCAGACCTGCCCTTCTGTGCCACAGATCCCACCCACCAAGACATTCCCTTCGCAGAACCACTACAGGAAACATTTTCCAGTCATGCTCATTTGTCTCGTTTGCTCTAGGAATTAAAGCTTTTTCCATAGCAATTCACAGAGATTCCTTACCAACTCAAAATGTTTTATTTTCCAGTTTTGAAGCTGCTGGAACTCACAGCAAATCGTTCCCAAAGCCATTGTGAAATTAAACACTGCTCTGCAAGTCTACAAATGTACCTGTAGCCTAGGCTACAATGATATAAAGCAACACTAGGAATATGCTAATAGCCATAATGTTAAAATACATTTAGATTTCCCATGTTAAAAATATGTTAGCTGATGCCAGTTAACTCTACTGACACAATCTACTGCAGTGAAAATTTTCACCTAGATTATTTTTCAAGGGAAAAGTGCAGATTCTCTCATATTATTGAGTTCAGAAATCTGTATTAATTTCCCAGACTGACTGCTTAGAAAAAAATAATTTCAAACACTTCAAAACAAAAATAATTCAATTTTTTCTACTACAATGGAAGCCTTTAATTGTTAAAAATACTATTTCTGACCTCAGTCAGGAAGAAGAAAACATTTTGTTTAATTTAACTCCCTTTTCTACTTTCTAGATTCACAAGCTGTTTTCAGTTAATTCCAGTTTCCACTAACTCCCAAAATGAAAGTATTTTGTAATTCCTTGTAAACTAAAAACAAAGCCCCACTATCCACCCAGCTTTGTTCTGATGCTAAGATGTATTTGATACAATTACCAACTTTTCCAACACAAAACATTTTCCCAGGTTACATACTAAATAAGCCTTCTTTCTGCATGAATTGTGTATTTGCTTCCAGGGATCAGTCTAGATGATGCTAGACAAGGGCTAGTATATCACACTGTACCTCTAGTCCCAACAAATAGAACACCCAAATGCTTAGTGAACACAGTATTATTTTATAAATTATAGCAAGCTAAACCAAAGCAATTTGGTTCATCCAAGAACATCAAGAAGATTTGTAAAAAGTAAAAACTGCTTTATGCAAAACAGAGCAATGGGTGTGAATGGCAAAGATCCTGTACTCCTTGAAGTCCTACTGGATGCTGGGGCAGGTCAGATTTGGGGTGAAGAAGCTGGGAAGGTAAGGATTTTTTTGAAAGAGATTGCTTTCAGTAGCTTTTATCCCCACAGACACCTTTATCATAAGGACTCTGAGTATCATTATTCTCATTTTCTAAGCAGAGAACCAAAGCAGCAGGTGCCATCACAGAGCTGTAGCAGAAGACACCTTTTGATTCCAAATCCTACTTTCTTTTTCCAGGCCAGCAACGGAGAATCTGCTGTCCCTAAGAAGAACATCTGCCAGTGACATATTTACAAACAGCAACTCTGTATTTACCAAGTCAGGGGGTGAATTGCCAAGGAATGTAAAAAAGTCTTGCCCTAAAGAGATAATTATTTATATGGGTGGAGAGCCCAGACAAGTCTGGGGATTTGAGAACAAACATATGCAAATATATTTCCTGGTCAGAATTAGCTACAGTAAGCTCATGGCATAGAGTGAGAGCTGATAAATTTTAATGGGTGAAGGAGGGAAAAATGCTGTGTTAGACATGTGACAGTAATCCAGGGTGAAATGAGATTTTTCAAAAATCAAAAAAGATGAGAAAGAATGACCTGATTAAGTCCAAATCATAGCCATTCTAATAGCTAAAAAAATAAAAATAGCAAAAAATCACATTGTGAGACAGTTTGTCTATCATCAAGTAGCAGCATAATGGCATGAAAGTACATGGTATGAAATCTTACTAAATTACATGGTATGAAAACCCTCACACCATGTATGTATCACTGGAGAATAAACAGGGTTATCATTCCACTAGTGATTCTTCCAGCTCACAGACATTTACGTCAGAAGTTGTTCCGACCCAGACAGTGGCTGTTTGTGGTGCAAGAATATGCAAGCTCCTTAAGCTGAGCTTCCAGCTCCTGCAGAATAGGAGCACTGGGGCTCCTAAACCCTTGGCAATCCATCTTCCCTAACTGTACCATTCAGGATAATCTTAGGAGCCTCCTTGCTGTCCACAGCTTCTTCAGCGCTACACGCTGGAGGCTCCAGGTCATCATATCTTCTCCGATAGACCACCCTTGAGAGCAGGGTTATCAGAAACATTTCCATGATGAGGAGCTGCTGGATTATATCTGCCAAAAAAAGGAGGCAAAGAGAAGTCCCCAAAAGGGGGAAATAACTATCGGACACAAAGTGGATACCTGGCTTATTCATTTTCATCCGTGCAAAAGGAACAAACTTCACCATCCTGTCCCCACAACAGAGTCTCTCTCATACTTGTCAAGAAAATCAGTTACAGAACTACAGTGCTGCCCTGGTTACACACAATAAGCATGCAATAAATTATGCATTCAAAATGCAAGAGATTTAACAGTAATTTTACATGCTGATTTCTTGTTCTCTCGCTTCTGATTCCAACACTTCTCATTCTCAAGTTTTTCTTGGTGACTATGACAGCTATAAAACTTTTGTTATTGTTTTTTAGGTAAAAGCTGAGATTCTCTAAAAGCTACACGATCCCAGGAAATTAGTGCTTTGGGAAAACACCAGATACTGCAGTTAGCAGTGCTGAACTGGCACCTCTATAAGTAAATTAAGAACATCCTTCCCAAAGGAACTTACATGCTCCTCTTGCTGAAGAGGAGAGTGGTGGAGCGCAGGGAATGACTCTTTGCATGGCCAAGATGTTGATAATAGCTGTCTGTAAGTGGTTCAGAATGACGATAAACTGCACCAGAAAGAGAAAACAGATTTTTGTCTCACTCCTTCTTTCTTGCCCTCCCTCTTCTCCAATCTACCAGCTGGCTGCCTGCCATTCTGCAGAATTCAAGTTTAGGTCAGGATGACATTGCTCTGAATATATTAAATTACACTTCTTTTGTTTGAAAAGTGTTTCTTCTCAGCCCTTCATTTAGGAGGCGAAATAAACACAGAGCTCCCTCCTGGGAATCCCCGCTCTGAGTAATAGGTAACCATATTTTAAAAACTTCCTGTTAATCTAACTGATGAGGCTATGGTCTCCCGTAGTGGAGGAAGGACTCAGACAGTGTTTTTTCGGTTGTCTCCTCTTTTTGCCAAAGCAGGGAGATAAGGTGCTCCCCAAGTTCCATCGGACTGGTTTCTATGCCAGAAGGGACAAAAGACTCCACAGGTAGCTGAGCTAGGCCTTTGCTGCCTTGGAGATACCAAAGTGTCTCTCTAGCTGCTGGTCTAACTGCATGAGTATAAACCCTCGTATTAACAGTGTTTGCCATCTTAAACCTGGATTCACCCTAGTGCAACTTTGCAGGTGTGACTGTCCCATTTATTGCATTTTTAAGTGCTTAATAATTCACTTAACAAAAACTTCGGTGCCCCAAAAGTGGTCCTGTCCAAGGAGGATACATATCCAAGGATTCTGCTGTACTCTTTTCAGAATGATATGGAAGATGGTGGCCCTGTCCCAGGGCTTTTTCAGTCCAACCTATCTGGTTTTGTTCCTTACTTACTAATGATTCCCAGCCAGTATTTTCATTATTGTATAACTCTGAAGTGCAGAATGGCCAAGAAAAATAGTGTCAAAACAGAACACTGTGATATGCTGAAACAGTTCAAACAACAGCCATCCCCATACTGCTCCACATCTTCTCCTGGTTTTTAAAAGTACACACCAGCATTTTAACATTGTGTTTACTGCATCTACAAAGCCTCCTTCAAGCCCTGCAGAAGGTGCTGGTTTGATTTCAGTCGCTTAAAGATTAGTAGATTTAACACAGCTTTCACATCTCCAGCAGTCCTGAGAGAGTAGAGGTAAATTGGCTTAAGCTGAAACTGAACAGCAGCCAAGGTGAGTGATTAAAGGGATGCAGCTTTAATCAGGTAAAAATACGGCTTTGCACAGAGCATTTAATGTGAAAAAAATACTATAACTTTTCAATGGAGGACCAAGAACTAGAGAGACAGTGTTACACCAGCTATTAAGAGAAATTCTTATCAGAAATATTAAACTTCTCACCTGATAAAGAGCAAACTTTGGGATGATCTTCTTAGAGGTAAGGACAGTCCTAACTTGTTGAAACATGATTGCAACTGGCCACAGAGCAATAATGGTGAGGACACCAACAAAGCTGTTAATCCATATTGCAGCTCTTTGGGGAGACAACTGAGAAGCAAATCAAACAAGCATACCTATAAAACTTCCCAGTGCACTTTACTGTTTCCAGGAGAAAGTTATGAATGGGATGATGCAGATGTTAAAATGCTTGTTTCTATCTCCATGAAGGCTGATGGCAGCAGCAGTTGCTGGGATTTGCATGGGGAAACTGCACGGTACCAACTGGAGTGCTAGCACCCTGCTCTCACCCAGCAGTCATGGACATGTGAATCTGGGCAGCCTGGGAAGGTAACAAGTGACACAACCCCTCAATCTAACCCCCAGCAACACCTGGGAACACTCAGCAGCTCATGAGAGCATATTCAGCATGATATCTCAGAGGTGTCATTTACCATGAAAGAATTAAGAATTACTTTAAATCTTAGTTATCCAAGGAGGTGCAAAATTATTAGCAGATACAGACTTCTCCATCATCTTGGAGCTTACATGATTCAAAGCAGAAGTACAGGACTAACTTTTCTACTTTGCACAGATATAAAAATCACTGTGATTTGCAGAAAAACATAGAATTGTCCTGCCTGTTTACGTGCCAGTATATACACTTAAGGCTGTAGCTTACAAAAAACAAGGCAGGTACATCCTGCAGGGCAGTTTGCAGTCTGGCTGTTCTAACCATACAGGATGGGAAACACTGGAGCATAATCTGAGGCCCAACCCACCCTGATGGCCAGTTTCTTCTCAAGAGAAGAGAAGAAATTGAGAGCCTGGGGGAAAGCAGAAATTACATGCTTCAGGGTCTCAATAGTAATAACTCACTTGGAAGTGCACTCAGACTCCACAGATTAGTTGTAAAATAAGATACTAACGTCAACCCTAAAACCTATAAATTTCGTGGAACATAATTGATGAAAGTATGTACTTACATTGTAAAGGATGTAATTGCCATTAGTCCAAAGCACTATTGCTAAAAACATGAACACAGGTCGAAGGAAAGCAAACTGAAAGGTGCCCAGCTTCAGCATAAAGAGAGTTTGCCTGGCCAGAAAAAAAAAAAAAAAAAAAAAAGAGAGAGAAAAAAAAAATCACACAGGCAACCTCAATAACATGTTTTTATACTGTCAATTGCAAAACTTTTCCACTCTTGTAGCATGTGGCTAAGATCTGGGGAGGAGCAGCTTCACGATTAGAAAATCTTTCCAAGAATTACCCAGTGTTTATTTAGTAGAGTCTCTAAAAAAGAGTACATGGCCTATTCTGCAGCAATTACACACTAACCAAAGCTGGGCAAAACGTGTTGTCTTTCTCTGCTCTGAAACTAAGCAGAAAGTCTGCAGCAGCACAACCAGAGTCTGAACAATAATGCCACTTGCTCTTGTCCTGTTGTTGCCTTCCTGTTTCAGTTTTCTGATGAAACTGGGCAATTCAGCCTTCCTGTTCAGACACTTCTTAGTGCTATGGTAGATCAAGAAAGGGAATTGTACACACTATGTGAAAGGACTGGTAGGTTTTCAGTGCATCATGAATACTACCACGTGAGCATCAGTTTTGCTGCTCTGTACTTTAACAGAAGAAAGGAACTATCTTTCACTTGACCAAGCGCACAAGAACAGCTCAGCATTTCCTCACTTCTGTCAGTAAAACTCGTGTCCAGAACTCAGCCTATACACAGTAACCTGGCCAGCCAGCACTGAAGACCACCAGGACATGGTTAAGATGCACTTCTTAACAGGGAGAATGACAGCTGACTGACCTGAACTGTCCATCAGTCATCACAGGACAAGCCATCTGCTACTGCTGGCTCACATTGTAGTCAGTTACAGTGTATTAATTCCCATACTGACCATGATGTCTTCATTGCAGCTCCTTGGGCCCTTGAGACCACCATCAGAGATGCCTCAGCAGACAAGGTGACATTTAGTATGCTACAGGATATAGCCATGAACCAGAAATTGCAGGAATTGCTCAGTTAACATAGCTAATAACCACAGGATGATGAACAGCACAAACACAGGTAGAAAGGCCTGCAACTGGCTACCCACTTAGTGTGTGTGCCTTTCCAAAGACTTATTATCCCAAAAGGACATTAAGGAATAATATGACAAACAGTGCAGCCACTGTAATGCCATGAGTTGTTTCCCTTGTCAACGCAGGTCTATCTTGACCATCACACCTCTTCTGCCACATCTCTCCCCACTTGTTATTTTGCCTCATCTGTTTACTGTACCTTGTTAGCCTTCCCAGGACTTCTTGACAGTATATGGGGGTTTTTTATAGAATGAATCCTTCCCCTGAAGTAGCTCACTCCCATACCTATGGGAGGAACATGAGACTGACCTTTCTCTGATGTAGCCTGCTCACATCTCAAAAAAACCTGCACCCTCTCTTGAGAAAAGGCTAGAAGTAAGAAGCAAAGACAGCAGATGGGTTTCCCAGTGTTACAGACACCAGAGAAGGAGCCGTAAGCCCTCTGCAGGGCAAAAAGCCTTTTTAAAAAAACTGAACAGCTGTCCTTCCTCCCAGCAGTAGTGGGCACTATCTAGCTCCTGAAAGGAGTTCATATTAGCTAATACCACCCTGACTAAGCTGTCACTGGACTGATAAACATGCGGGCAGAGCAGAGGATTCCCTCCCAGCCTCCCAGCTACCACAGCCTATACAGAGGGTGACAGACACGGGAAGAAAAAGAAGTATGCTAGAGACAGGTTAGATCTATAGCACAGCTCTGTCCCACGGCATTCCTTTGGATCTGACTGCTGAAATGAGCCTGACCCAATGCCCTTGAAAACTAGTAGGAATCATTTAGATTCATATCAGTAGTTGGTGATTTAAGTCGTTGTATTACATTCCTTTTTGGAGGTACATTTTTCAGCTGGTTTATTACTTGTTCTTCTAAATGCCCCCTCCATTTAAGTAGTGTTATTCCATTAAAATAAAATTATGGAAACAAGAATTTAAATTCTAATACAAAAGTAGGCATTTTTAGGAATAATTTTTACAATGAAAATAAGATTTTTTGCAAATGCATCACAAGCTGTTATGCTGCATTCTGTTTGCTGCTTTCACTTCACTGGACTGACACCAATGTCCAGGCTCTTACAGAAAAATCTCTGGCTTGCACATTCAGCCCATCAGCTTTTGTTCTTAATGAGAGAAACATTCTCATGCTCTCTAGCAGCAGGAAAGCCCTGGGAAACACATAAGGTTTCCAGGCTGCAGAGTGTAAATGCCAGGGTGACACCAGCCAGGGGAGGAGCCCCACCAGGCAGCGCTCAGGGGAACTGGGCTGAGAGTGAATTGTCTCCGTTAGGTGCTGCTCTCCATCCTCACCCCATTTCTCATAGATCCACTAAGTTTAGCAGAAGAAAACATTTTCTTTTGCCTCACCAGACAATGCCATTTCATTGAGATCAAAGCTTTCCACGAATTAGATCTAAAATTTTGTTCTAAAATTTATTTTGATCTGCAGTGGTTTTAAAGTCAGTATCAGAACGAAACGTCTCCATTTCATAGAAATAATAGAAATTTTCTTTCAAGATAGTCTCAATTTGACAATTATGATTGTGAAAAATACCCAATTTTGAGACACTTGTTCCCTTCTGGAATGAGGACAAATCAAAATCTCAGTTATTAGGTTTTCTAGACCAGAAATTCCTCCTCCTTCCACAACGCTACTTACTATAGAAATGGTTTCTTGAACAGAATGGGATTAACTGGGGAGATATGACAGTACTCAACATCACTATGAGTGGGAACACTACACTGCCTAAAACTGAGAGAGCTCATGTCTCAACTCCTATGCAAAATTCTGCATTACCAAAGCAAAATAAATCGGCAGTGGCACACTGCTCCGAAGTGATGGCACTGTTTAAAAGACACAGCTTGAGGCTGACTTTCGGGAAGCAGGGAGGCCCTCTGCTGTAAGCCTGGCCTCGCCAAACTGGCTGAATTCCAGCAGCCGTTTTTCCAGCGGGGAAATCTTAAAGGGCGACTCACCTAGTGATGCGCACGCGAGGGAGGCAAAGGCAGCAGCAGCAGCAGGGACCGGTGCTGATCTTCAAGCGACCGTTTTCAAACCGCTGGAGGAGCAGCTTTTGACCTCCACACTCTTTAATCATCATCAGCAGGA